ACACCAAGCATGGTGCAACCAGCACAACTCAACAGTCGTGTTTCTAGAACTCATCTATGTGAGGTACAATAAATATGGTACTAATGTAGGATGTCCCACCTCTCCACATCAGACACAGGCCTAATGTGGGAAAAATGTTTTTGTCATGTATAAAACAAAAACTAATCATGTATGTCAACTAGAGTGTCACAACTTGACAATGATTAGATACCAATTCAAAGATGATAATAATGCATTGTTTAAATGATCCTGCTGGTCTCCCTCATAGTCAGAAACCAAGCCTGACGGACACACCTATGTAGTGCATTTTGTATATTATTTCTGTCAAACCAAACCTTTGTCTCTTCATTTCTTTCAGTTTTTTATGTAACTAAAAAGGGCAGTTTTCATTTTCCTGATATTAAAATATTGGGAAAAAAAAAACAATATAAAATGCCCCATAAATTCTACCCTTAATACAAATAACAATCTACCATGTAAAATGTAAAAAAAATCTTGCTAATAGCACTTGAACTGTACTATGGATTTCAAGGTCCTTTTTCTTACAAATTGGTTTTAAAAAAAACAAACAAAGGAGATGCAATAACATGCCATATAAGTCATCCCTATAGCGCCCTCTCCCCCTCCCCCACCTTGCTCTGAGTTTTATGGTTGGTTTTATGGTGTTTGATTGTGATGATGACTGCAACAGTATGGGGTAAAAGCCTTGCTGGTGTAGATGTCATGTGAACTGAAGTGAGAGAGTAAGAGGATGAGAGAGAAAGAGAGAAGGCAGATTCAGGCCAACAACAGGGCAACTGGCTATGCATTAGGAGTGGGAAAAAGTATGCGACCAACACACACACACACACACATACACAACCTCAAGAACAAGCAGAAGCACAAGCACATCCCTATTAGATCAACAGCACAAGCCATTGTCTGGTAGAGAGAGGCTATGCTGAAAGGATGAAGGGCTAAAGGGATCGAAGCTTTAAGGTGGATGCAAAGCTGTGAGTACATAGAAATGCTTGTCTACACACACATACACAAACCCAGCCATGCCACTGGAGCAGAGGATCACATTTCAAAAGCGCTCCTAAGCCACCTTTTGGGCTTGCCACCAAATGGCCACTCAGCCACTCCATCAGCACTAGCAAATACGTGACGAAAAACAACAAAGACCTGTTTGAGTTGCAAAAGAAAACAGTGACTTGCTTTCTTTTTCATTCAGCACTCCTCTTTTATGCTCTTTCTCATGATCCCCTCCCGCAGCCTGGATGAGTGCTAAACGATGGCTCCTTGCACACATTGGAGACCATTTCAATGGACTTCAATTGAGTAAATCCATTCAGCCTGTTCTCTCATACTCTGTGTGTAAACATGGCAGGCCGTGAGACAGAGCAATGGAAAAGTGACACTTTCTCAATGTCTTTGATAATGGTTACCCTTTCAGACTGACCTGACAGCAATTATTGTTGTTTTTCATCTTTATTAAAAGAATGATCCAAATTCTATCAACCTAATCTCTGTCTGCTGCACCGACTACCACATACAATAGTTTTGACATATTTGCCTGTAGTTAGTAAAAGAAGAGATAACTCTGATAAGCATTGACTCAAAACACACATTTAACATAGACGTCAATGCCCACTTGCTTCAGCACCTGCTCACTGACTTCTGTTATAAGTGAGTTTCAAGTCAATGGATCCTTTTCACGCAGAGCAGAAGTCACCTTAGTAGGGAAAACATTACAGCAGTGGTGGTGTGTATGAATGAGAATTGTAGAGGGGTCACTTATTTTTATGTCCTCATTAAGGTACTTGCCTAATTATTCCACAAAGGACATCTGGTTTGGTGGAGCAGTTTTCAAGCATGACAAGGCCTACATTAAAACTAATGATACCTGTTGTTTCAGCAATGGAAGGGCGAGCAACTTTAATGACAGCAAAACATATCTGTGAATGAGAAAGAGAATATGTGATCTTATCTATAAATAAAAACTGGTTGTTAATACCTTAGATTTATAGTTATATATTGCATAGTAAATGTTAATGTTAGAGATATTACTGCTCAAAGACTGAAGTAATTAAACACTGTCATGTCAGTTAACTTAGGAACACTGACTAGAACATGGTCATATACCACATTAGACACCGTACAACACATCATTAACAAACCGGAAAAAATGCAAAAATGTAAATCACACAATACAACTAAAACATAATGAGGTATAACTAACTACATTAACTTGCACTTTAACGTGCACAACTTTGACCCTACTCTAGAAAACATTCGACTACTAGCACTAGCTGACCTCGTTGGCTAACTGTCACAAGATCTTTACAGGTAATTTTCAAAGGAATCACATAGACCTTGTCAAATTTGCTTATCTCTACAAGTGAAAACTGCTCCACCAAACAGCAACGTTTTAGTGGAAAAATTAATATAAGATAAATAATATGTAAAAATAAATGAGACCTCTACATTCTTATTCACAAATGCCATCACAGCTGTAATGTTTCCCTACTATGTCGAAAAGGGTCCATTTTTTTCCTGTTCACTTCTAAATACATGCAAATGTGAAAATCAAATGTCAAAATCATTGTCTGTGGTACCTGACCATGTAACACAGATGCGGCAGACAGAGGTTAGGTTGAATGATGCTGGAAAAGTCCTTTAAGGTCAGGATTTTTGTAAGAGCAGCAGGTCCTATGCCAGTGCAAATGAGCTACCTCTAACTAAAAAGGTTATTGTTAGTATGTACTGGGTAAGAGGCATCAAAGCTTTTCTAATGTGAGGCAAAGAGAAATATGAGATAAAATAAGGCTGCCCTGAAAACAGCTTTAAACATGAGCCATGTAAAGGGAAGTAGCAAGAATTAATGAAGTTAATTACTGATTTACTGAAAAAGCAGCTGAAAAACAGTGTCTACCAATCTGAAAAGAAAATAGCTACTAGAAGTGAGTACTTGGCCAAGCTTAGAATCGCATCAGCGGAATGATATCAGACTGAATGTTCTTCTGGATTTTACACAAATGGACCTGCTGCCCCATGACATATTGCTGTGAGCAAAACAACCATGAAATGTATTGGATCACAAACATACACATATTCTCTCTCCTTTTTTGCATGGTATAGAACAGTACATCTACAGAAATCTGTATGTTGTTTGTGTGAGTCTGACTGCAAATGCATTTGAAAAATTTATGCATGAATAACCCTTGTTTTTGCTGTATCTATTGGTATTAGGGATGCACTATATCATTTATCATTTCCTGGTATATGGAATCATTTCAGTATCTTTCAGATATTTGCTTAAAAAAACATAGGCAGACGTTTAGCTTCAACCAATATTTTAAACCAATATTTGACAATGCACTGATTGTACAGAACAGAACATTTATTCTGTTTTATTCATTTTACACATAAATGTTGTATTTCTTGATAATGGTAATCCAGGTGGATCTAGTCCAAATTTTTACTTTCTATAAACAGTATATCACTGCATCCCTACTTGGTACATGTAATACAAATTGTATTATATTCATTTAAATTATATGAATATAAATACATTTTACTGTATTTTCAATCTTGAACTTTTGTATTGGGCCCAAGATCCTCAGTTACTATTACACTAGATACTGAGCCCTGCTACTCTAGACTTAATCCATCTCCTTAAGGCATAGGCAATAGCTAAGGGTTAATCAGATGTAAATAGGGCACTTAAAATTCATTTTATTCATTCATTTTAAATTCAGCAGTATTGATTACCTGTTTGAGAATGTATCTTTGTGTGAAATTAATAGATTGGCATTATTAATGTAGACTATGTAATAAAAGTTAATGAAACAAACAGGCACACTTGAATCAAGTGCAATAATTTTTTATCAAGGTGCCTTTGGTAGGATATTAAATTCAGTCTCAAGAGAGAGTGTTTCACATGCACTCATTCATGCTCTGACAGCACTAGGTGCCCAAGCCTAAGGTGATTATGCAAAATGTGAATTGGCGCCATTAAATTATATTAGGCTAGATTACTTTTAATCTAGTTTAATAAATTAACAAACAAACAAATAAATGAATGCATACAAAAAAGCGAAGAAGCAGTTACTTACAGAAGAAGCTTTGACGTTATATTTCATTATTTAAGAAAGGAGAAAAACCTATTTTAAGCAATTATATGTGCAAGTGATCATCTAATGACTATGCAAGTTTCACGTTGTTTCTTTGCTAAAAGAGTAACGTATGTCATTTACTTCGGATATTCACATAATTTCCACAGGAATAATACATTAGCATGGCAGTTAGTGCCAAAAAAGAAAGTAAGCTGCTGTGTTGACTTAACTGTTTTATTCATGTGGAAATGATATACACATTTGAATCAAGTACATTCAATACTTTGTCCAGTGGCTGAAATTTGAAGCAAACATATACAAGATGCTGTGAATCTTCTCCAAACTGTGAGTTTAGATCTGTTTATGAGTGTCATTCGTTCACATAAACAACTCTGAAGCCATTCAGAATGAGCCCAAGCATAGAGACACTATAACAGCAAAACCAGAGCGAGTCTGACAGCTTGAACAGTCTTTGATGTAGTTAAACAGCGCAATAACTCAGCTCCACTGAAGTGCTCGCAGTGCTCTGAACGCGCTCCAGTGTGAAATACAGCGAGCTGCCACAACACTGAACAAACTCAAGAGTGTAAAGAACAGCGATGAGGCTTCAGCTCTCACACTGTCAGTATCAAACACCGAAACTTCCTAGACATCAGAAAAAAACACTCTCAACATAAGCCTAACTTGCCGCGTCTCCCGATAAAGGGCATCAGTCCTCACGTTCAAAACTAATTACAGACAAGCATGCTCTGACAGCCAGTCAAATTTTATTTAAAAATAAAAGATTTGCGACAAACAAATAAAGAGTCATCTTGATTCAGCTTTAGGCTTGAACATAACCTACAGCTCAAAACGTAGTGAAACAGAACATGATTTTTAGCATCATCCCAACAGCGACCTTACCGTCCACAGCCATGCTCGGTATTAACGTGTATCTCTCCGTGGTGTCTCTAGTGAGGGTCTTCCATGCTTATCGACGTCCGGACAGAAACAGAAAGACACAGAGACAGAAAGAGGTAGAGGGACACTTGGCGTGTGTGACCTCCGCACTCCTGTGGGGTGCGATACGATGCGATCTGCCGCTGAATTGATGCGCTAAGAACCCAGTGTGTTACGGCTGGTCCTCCCTCGTCTCCGGTCATGCCCCTCTCTGCGCGCGCTGAGGTTGAACATAAGAAACACACTCGGAGCGCCCGGAAACCCCTTCAGCGAGTTGGAACTCCTCCCTCTCGTTTGGCACCTTCCCCTCAGTGTTCACTGCCCCGGTGTGGTTTCTAGACTAGCTGTCCAAACGGAGCGTAACTGACCCCGAGCGTTGTGAAGTGAAGGGCGCCTGTTCGAATTGACACTGACTTCACAAGATTACGTAGCAGTACAGTGCATGGTCCAATACGGGACAAAGGGGTCGCCGAGAAAGGTGGGTGGTCATACGAATAGTTTTTCATTCGACACTTCTTTCTTTCACATTGATACACATTAGCCTAACAATAGCAATACAAAGCCTTTAACAATTCCTAAAGTTCGCTTTAACAGGACAGGGACATTTGCTTTTTCTGAAGATTGTCCTTACGTGAATGTACACGCCTACCAATACAGATAGCTCCGGCTCTAAAATCTGATTGGTTGAGCCGCGTTCAAAGCCGTTGTAAAATTAAGCAATAGAACACGAGAGGGAGTGTGTTATCGCGAAATAACATAACGGCTGTGATTTTGGCTCGTGCCATAGATCATCACAGCCGTGATGATATTCGCGATAACACACGACCTCGAGTGTTCTATTGCTTTTATACAACAGTTAAATAAATAAAGTAAGAAATAAATGAATTGGGCAATGAACGTGGCGTTTAATATGTTTTAATGTTAGCAATTCCTTCCGCCAAATTATAGTTACTTAACAAGCAGCTTGTTGCTACGTCAGAGTAACGAGCTCCGCTCACTCGCTGCACAGCCAAGAGTTCGTTCTCCAGCTCCTTACACAGACCAACTGACAGTTTCGGAATTTAGTGTAGTCTCATCTTCAGAGTCTGACCAAATCGGCTGTCGGTCAAATGTGATCTTAAAAGTATCCATTCTCTGTTTGTGCGCAAAGTAAGAAGTAAAAACGTTCAAATGGCTTGAGCGTCTCCTACAGCTGTCAAAGGCGTTGCCTTAGCAAGGGCGTCTCAGCGGAGTGATAAAGTGTTTGTGAAAAACCTGTGAAATATCAGCACGGTTAGAACGCTTCTCAACCACTCAGATTGGTAATACAAGATATATGAACGTCTACGACCGCCTCACAACAACTTAACTCTGTATTACGTCACGACAAATCCTTATTCTGTTACTGGAATAATCTTTGAATGTAATGCTGCTTGTATGAACCACCAGTGTGCTGATAAAGTAAAAACCTTGTTTAAACTGAGGGGCTGCCAACTTATTTTCTTAGCTAGAACTAGGCTGGTCAGCTAGCTTACAGGCTGGTCAGCTATCTTACAGGCTAAAACAGACTAAACAGCACCATCATTGATACCACAAGCTCTTATTAAAGCATTTGCTATGAGAATTAAAGTACTTGCTATGATTCACTGTAAAATGGCAATAAAAAAGACTGTCACCTGAATGGCTTACACACTTCAAATGTCCCTGTTTCAGTCAGAAGTCGCATTAAAACCCAGGCTGAATCTCGAACGCCTTATGTACTCCCTAAATAGTGTGCTAGCTATGGAGATTTTGAAAGTCTACCTTCTACAGCCAACTAGTATACTAGATGTCGAGCTTGGATGTAGCTGAATCCCAAATGACTATTTTAATGACATATTTTTAGCTATATTATGCACTGTTGGGGTGCAGGAGCCAGTATTTAAATTCCTATGTAGTGCACTACGTAGGGAGCAGGGAGCCATATGAGATTCAGCCCTAGCGTGAGAAGAGGGGCACCGTTGATATGGTGTTATATAAGACACGTGGTGGTAATTTGGTGACCAAAAAGTACTTATAAAGTGAATGTTTTGCATTAAGCAGTGCTATGTTATGATATGTTCATTAGTATACAACAAAAAGTTAAAAAGTTAATGAAATGACCTCAGTATACACTGATGAGTGACCAAATGTTCTTCTCTGTATTCAGCGGTCTGTGGTTGCTTGGCAACCATACCATACTCTGAAAGAACTACATTTCATGGCGAAATACTTGTTTATGTCAATTATTATTAATAATAATTTGTTTTTTGAAAATAATGCATATTTTATCATATTTTATGTTGGCCACCATTTTATAAAAGCAATAAGCCATAAGCAATAAGCAGTAACGCACGGTGTCTCATGGCTTATTGCTTTATTCATCACTGGGCTGCTTTCTTCCCACACTGGCTGTAAAACTTAGCTAGCTTACTTGCAGTGCATGTGATTGGCTGTCACAGCCAATTACCCAATGACAAAGAACTGGTGATTACTTGTGTAGGCCTCAGAGCATGCTGTTTGGTGGCTTCACTGTTAACCAGCTTATTGATGGCACAGTATCTTGTAATATAATTCAGAAATCAGCAAGTACATTTGGCTGAATTATGTCTGATTAACTTTATAAGTATCTTCCTGTTAGCTGGGGTTTGGTAGAGACGGACCTTTATAAAGTATTTTTAATGTTTGCTTTTTCAGTAGTCAGTGAGGAAAGAGGAGGAAGAAAGCAAGAGACAGGTACATAAAATGAGAGACAGAGAGAGGTAACTTAAATAAAATCAACTTATTTTGTATATATAGGTGTCAACATATATGTTCAGCTAAAAAATGAATAAGTAAATAAATAGTTACATGATTAATTAAATAAACTGGTGTTTATGGAACAGTAATAGTGTTTAATGAAAGACTGGAGGGATGTGAAAGGAATAAATGAAAGGAAAAGATACATAGCAATTATGGATACATAAAAAACTAGCAATGATTTGGTTAACAAAACTAAAAGAGACACTGATAGTTGATGTAATACATATATTCGGCAGTTAGTTTAGTCACTGTGTGATGTAGGTCACTTTTCTGCAAAATACACCTCACTGAAAGTTTGACCCTAGTTACAGCCCTGTGGCTGTTCATTCCAGAAATTTTGGAGTTGACAGTGATTCCATTTCCAAGTGACGGGAACAGATGGAGTCAATTCCAAGAGTTGATGCCACACAATAATCTCGATTCCTAAAACTAAGATATAGAGAAAGACACATAACAAAGAGTTATTTTATTATATTTAATCATAACAAGGAAATTTGGAGAGCAAATGCTAGCTAAAATTGTATTTAACTGTCTAATAGTGGCTGGCTAAGTTGTCCCTGATCTCTTCTGTCAGCTCCTTGTGGGTTTGTTTTGGCACTGGCAATGTTATTTGATTGTAATAAAAATGTTCATTAGATTTTTACATACTGCTTTGTTTTTTGCTTTGTCTACAGTAAAATACAGCCAATCCATGTATTTATATGTTGTGGAAGGACATTTTCAAACAGTCTGTCTAGACCAGTGGTTACCTACACTCCTCCTTGAGATCTACTTTTCTGGAGAGTTAACTTCAAACCCAAATCTAATACACCTCACTCAGTAAACCGAAGACCTCTGAAGTAAGTAATTAGATGATTTAGGTGGGGTTGATTAGGGTTGGTGACCGCTGGTCTAGACAGTGAAAAAAGAATATCTTATCATCCATGTGCATGCAGGCAAATTTGAACGTCACTGTATGGAATTATATCCACAGCATTGGAGTCGACTTGAATGAATGGAATCATGGAGTTGATTCTTTTGGGGATCAACTTCTAGATCTTCTAGCCAAGTTCTGACATCAGTGCTGTTTTCGTCAAGGCAGAGAAAAGAAGCAAGACGTCAATGCAATCAAATAACACTGCACAAATATAATGTCAAAGTTAAGTCAAAGGTTATTTATAAAGCGCTTTATACAACAGGTATTGTCACAAAGCAGCTTTCCAAAAAAAAATCCGGGTCCAAGCCAATGGCGACAGTAGCAAGGAAAAACTCCCTAAGAGCAAGAGGAAGAAACCTTGAGAGGAACCAAGACTCAAAAGGGGAACCCATCCTCTTCTTGTCGACACTGGATAGCAAACAGCATTAGTATAAAATATTATACCACAAAACAGGGAAAACAGGCGGAGCAATGGTTAATTAGATTAGTTTTAGTTTATGCAACAGCATCATCAGGAGGGTCAGTTCATGAGGGTGAGGTTTGCATAGCATTGTACAGCATGAAGCTCAATGGTGGTCAAACCGGTCCAGAAGGCTGGCGAGCAGTGGACACCCGATCAAGGCAGAAGAAGCAACAGTATCAGACCGTACAGGATGGGCAACTGTTCAACTCGGCAAAGAAAAGGAAAACACACAGAGAGTTAGTTCTATAAAGAGTAACTGATCACAGATTACAGTATTAACAGAGTGCAGCACAGACTCCGGCAGGTCTAGTTATTACAGCCTAACTAAAAGGGAGAAACCAGAAAGGTAACAGAGACATGAGGGCTCCCTGAGATGTCAGCGCCCCTCTGCTCCACCGTCAGCAAACCTGAGTGAACGTGTGAGAGCAGCAGGACGACAGCACCAATGCTCCCAGTTTACCATAATACTCTATGTCCATGAACCCCCAGATCTGCACCTTTTATCTAAAAGGGAAAACTAATTACCAAAGTCTTGACTAAACAAGTAAGTTTTTAGTCTAGACTTAAAGACTGAGGCTGTGTCTCAGTCCTGAACGCAGACTGAAAGATTATTCCAAAGTTGGGGGGCTTTGTATGAGAAGGCTCTCCCCCCCTGATGTAACTTTATGAATTCTAGGTACTAATAGTAAGCCAGCACCTTGTGATCTATGTAGGCGCGATAGTTCATAGTATGAGAGTTCACATAGTATGAAGTTCACTCAGATACTGAGGGGCGAGTCCGTTTAGAGCTTTATATGTCAATGAAAGAATTTTGTAATCGATGCGAAATTTAACTGGCAACCAGTGTGGGTTTGATAAAACTGGGCTGATACAGTCAAACGTCTGGTTTGGTCAAATGTCAGGATCTGTCGTGACACCAAGGTTTTTTACAGATGAGCCTGACGCAACTGAGAAACTATTTAAGTTTAAGTGTTAATTTAGTTTGTTTCTAGCAGCTTTTGGACCAAGAAGCAGAACCTCTGTTTTATC